GTCTTCATTAGGACTTTGAGTCAAAGATTTCAAAAGTAGTATTACTTAAACATGTTTGAATTTTGGCATGAGCTTGAAGGCTTTGCTGAATCAGCAGCTTTGTCTCTAATTAAAGCCTGTCTTTTAGCTCATAATGTACACAGGCTGTGCTGTGATCCTGGAAATGAAGAAAGAGTTTATTACTCTTAGAAATGAAAAACACATCTTTAATAATAGCCATTCTACTTCCATATTTTATGCTCGTTAAAACACATGTCCAGGTGATGTTTATGTACATCTCTGTAAACATACACTTTTTAACTTGTAGAATTTTGCTCCAGAACATACCTGTAGGAGTTTGGTTTTCTCCTGAGAAGCCTTCCTTGCTTCCTTACACAATGCCTATTTCTTTTGCTCTTAAAGCCTGTTTTGTTCACAATAATCCTGTTTGCAGTAGTGTGAAGTGATAAGTACACTTTTCAGCTGCTTGGAGAAATATAATAACCTAAGCTAAATTACACCATGATTTAAAGAAAAGAGTTCATATATTTATTGTATAAATCACTTCCTCTATAATCTTGGGTGAAAATCAAAAGCAGTGCTTATAAAAGTAATGATGATAGTCTGAAACACAGCTACAGGTAAATATGCATATATATATGTATTATACACAGACACGTTTGAAAAATGTTTTCTGGTGCTTTTTGTAAACTCCATATTTTTCATCTTTATTGCAAAGTTCTTCTGTTTGATAATGACATTTATCATATGCCTGTAAGCTATTTTGCTGTCAAAACCACCGTCATGTTTAGATACTGATTTTTTATCTTAACCAGTGTAACCTTCTCAACCTGGGGTAAAGCAGATTTTACCACCTCCCATAATAGCTGCTGACAGTTAAGGGGACTCAGTCCTTCAGGACATAGTTTCTAGCACTCTTTGATAAAGTCTAATACTTAAAAGCTCATGTTGGCTTTTTCCTTGATGGCTGAAAACCTTGTGTTGCTCAGCTGTGTGGAGGCTGTATTGCCCTCGGTTCTACAAGCAGCATTTTTAATGTAAAATACACAAAAGTAATTTCTGTGCAGCTGTTGGGATTCCCTACTCCTTCAGCCCCTGCAGCCTGCAGAGCCCCAGAGAGACCGTACAGACCCACATGCACCTGTGGACAAAGTACCTCTATTGGAGCACACAAACACACACATATCTATGTTTTTTCATTTACTGGAAGGTAGCAAGACACAGTGCTTGCACATCATTAAAACACATGAAGAGCATGATGCATAAGGAAAAACCCCAACAGACAACACCCACCCCTATAAGCTTATTTAATGAATGAATACAGCCAGACCATGAAAAACTCTGATTCACAGCCAGAACCACAGAACCCACGTCTCAAACCTTTAGGTCCTCTCTACAAAGTATGTGTACAGGATACACCCAGTAATGTCAGTGAGATGGCTGTCATTGAGAGTTGTCACCCTGCAAGGGGTATTTGTAGCCCCCAGAGAAGTGCTCTTCTTTGTTTTACCCAGGCACACTGTGAAGCTCATCTGCAGTCCTTGCTGGCATACTGTCTGGTACCTGCAGTGGCTACATTGCGTTTTAGTACACTGCTCTGGGTATGGTTCTGGCATGTCTGAAGGTTCAGTGCTCAAAAAAAGTTCAAACTTTATAAGCTGTTCAAAAACTGTGTTGCCTACCAACATTTAAATACCGGCCTTGCAGCTTCCTTTTCTGTTATCAGAACTTGGACAATTAGCCACAAGAGGCATGGATTTATGAGCAAGGTCAGGGAAGAGTGGTTATGTACATCCATGTAACAACAAGTTCTTTCTCCATACATAAGCTCTCACACTTTGTCTTTTTACTTCCTTTAAGATAGCAAACCCTCAGAAAGATTCAGCATCAGTTTTCTCAAGGCTTTTGGAGAATTTGTCTGCTACCCAAGAGCACAGGGTAGCTTTCATCTGAAAGCATAAAGGAAAGAGCTGGGGTTTAAGCTCTGCTCTAGCAAGTATTTTACTATAGACAGCTCCTGCTCCACTCTGGTCCATAAGGCACTCCCATGCCAGTGCTAGAAGACCAGGTTCTTGCAGGCTGAGAAACGAGCCGGACTTTTCAGGACAATCTACCAAGAATGCTGTACTTGTGTGTCTCAGCAACATATGACATCAGGATGCATAATTTCCTCATTTCCTAATCCAATCTCATCATCAGTATCTTATGATTGATTTGAAAAACAGCTGCTAAAAAACATTAATTGGCCAAGAAACAAATGAGCATTTTTTCTTTGTGATATCAAACAACTGGAAACACTGTTTTTATATATCTTTCCTGTCTTGCCTTGTCTGCCCTTCCTAACTGCTCTGGTCTACAGTAGGAGGAATATGACATTACAAAACCAAATGAAAATGTGCAGTAGAAGGCAAGAAGGATGTTTAGTGAAAACACCAATAAAACAATTTTAGCTTGATCACATGGGATCCTGTTTTTTTTGTGTATCTGTTTGTGTGTCAATCTGATCTCACAGTAACTGAAGGTCCTGGCCAACTTCAGCCAAGTCAAACTGAGACAGTGTAGTTCCTAGAGGTTTTGTGGAAAATAGCAGCTCAATAAAAGAGAAATAACCTTATTAATGGCTGGGCTGTGGGGGCCAGTTGCTAGTCAGTCCATGGGTAGCTGCACAGTGTTTACTCAGCTACTAACCTAAATGTAGTGTGAGGATATGCATTATGAGGAGCTGTAGGTGGCAGAAGAGAGTGGAGGTGGTACCAGGAACTGTCTAGAGCTGTGGGAGGATATGGTGAGATGCAAGGCACTTCCCTTTGTTAGCCAGGCTCCTGGCAGAGATGAGGGAAAAGACCACCAGTAAATACTTAGTATTTACTGGATTTCTGCTGTGTCACTCCTATTCTGGTTCTTATTCCTTCAAGACAAGAAGTGAAGGGGGAAAACTAAGTGACCAAGCTGTTATCACAAATCAAAAGTCAAGCCTTTTTGCATAGGGAATGCCTTTCCAGGCCTTCTTTGCAAAAAACAGGGAAAGCAGTGCTCATTGCTTTATTTTTGCAGGTGACCCATGAAAACGCACCCGGTGCTGGATTAAGAGAATATCAAAGCTGCCAGTCAGAGAACTTCATTGACAGCATTTCACTGGTAAAGATTAACTTTCCTTAAGACAAAGGTTTCATATAAAGTGTGAAACAAGGTTTTATATAAACTGTGAAACAAGGTTTCACCTGAGAAAAGAAGGAGCACAGAGTAGCTATGATGTTTGTTTATGTATCTGAAGACAGAGGACCTTGACTATGTATGACAAAGGACTGAATAATCCCCTTGATGACTCAGTGATTAAATTTTTCTTGCAGCTAAAACTACAATTGTATTAAACATTGAGCAAAGTGTGTGTGAAAGAGTAATCGTCTGACGGAGTATAAACACCTGGGTGTGACTTGGCAGCTTCTGAGACTGTGCTGTTAAACTCTGCTTTCTACACAGCCAACAACTGAACTGAATGCTGGATAAGAGTTTAAGGAAGCTGGAAATAAATAATAGGTAAGGAAGTGTCTTCATCCTGCCTGCCTCCAGCATGTTCTACTCTTGTCTAAAGGGGTATGGTGGTCACTTCACAGGCAGTGTCAATCCAATCAGGTGCTTTCAAACAACTTTATCCCTGGCTTGTGGTGACATACAAAACTGCTGGTGTATCTTGCCAAAAAGTATCGGAGAGGATAAAAGTAGCATGTCCTTCTCTTTCAGGTCACATAAAAACTGACAGATACCCAGCAAAGACACTATAAATTTCACCAAACTTTAGCTGTCTGAAAGTTAGCTGCTCTAAGCTAGTTGGATAGCCTTTCTCTGCAAAGAGGTGTTTTCTTCAGGGACTGAAGATATTGGTTTGCCCCATCACAGTCTTAGGAAGAGATATGTAACACTGCAGAGAACTTTTACCTCTTTTTTAGGTACAGGCATCTTCTATAACTTGTGTGAGTAGATGCAAAGACAGACAGACAGAAAGCTACAGTTAAGTCAGATGAATCTCACCCAAATGTCTGCCATTTCACTCCACTCTAAGTTTAAATTTTGATTAGTCTTGTAGATCAGTGAAACAGCATATCTGAGCCTCTATTTTGACTTTCTGGTGGGAACCAAGCCAGTGCGATTCTCATAGCAATATCAGCAATGTAGCAGTACCAAATGGTACCAAACAGCCAAATCAAATAGGTAAGGATCAGGTTGAGATCATTGCATTGTTTGCCTGGTACTGTAAAAATACATAGCAAAAAGGAACTTTTTACTCTAACATGCAACAGGTGTGTAAACCAGCCAGATATGTGAGAGCTAGGGAGCAGAAGGACAAGCCAGTTCTAATGAGATCATGTTCTCAGATACACCCTGCCATGCAGGCAGCAGGTTCTGGGCCTGTTTCCAGAATTAAATGTAAAGGAAATACTTGGAGAGGATATGGTTGTGACTTTATAGATTTTGTCTGATTTTGCAAGGAGTTTGCTTCATGCACAATGGCAATATGTAGTCAATGTCAGATATACGTGCACTTGAAACACATGCTTTGCGTTAGCGGAGCAGAGGTTGTGCTTCATGACATGGTAATTAACTATATTTCTTGAATAGGACACAACTGATTTCTGAAGGATGCCATTCATAGATTCACAAAAATGGTTACTGATGAAATACTAGTTGTTATATAGCTATAGACTGTGAGCTAATGTATTTAGGCACTGGGGCTTGAGAATGATTTTGGTGGCAACATACTGATGTGATGTGAAAAGAAGAAAGCTGAAATGGGCAAGGAAAAGCAGGAGAAGACAGAGGAAGACACAGGAGAGAGGACAGAAAAACAAGCGATTAATGAAAAAACTGGCTCCTGAAGTTGTTTGGAGATCAAAGAATAAAAATACAAACATTGTATCTTGGAAGAATATTAGCATATTAACCTGAAGTCTTTCACACTTCAGAAATATGGAACACCTTCAAACATATGAAGCAGAATACAGTTGACATCAACCTAAAACCTTTTATTGCCAAAATATTTGAAAACCCATCTGAAGTATAAAATGATATATTATGTTGGATATATTGCACTTATTCAGGAGAAAAAATGCAGTTTTATCTAGCATTTGGAGGTACCATTAGAGCTGACATGATATATTAAAATAGTAGGCACATAGGAAAACTAGTCCTGTTGCCTCTTTTGTATAGTAGTGTTTATATGAACAACCTTTGAGAAATCTAGAATGATTTTTATTCTCAATTGTTGTGTGTAAAAAAAGCTTAATGATATTAACAGTTAAACCAGCTGTTACTCTTTATTTCGCGGATAACTTTTTTAGCAGTAGGGTCGAACTCCCACTGCTTTGATCCATGGAAGAAGTAGAATAACCCTGGAAATAAAAAAGTAAGGCATCACGGCATGAATAAAAGAAACAGGTTCATTCTGACAAAGCAGGGAACACCACCCTTATACACACAGGAGAGCACCTCCTCAGTTCTTTTGCAGGACACATCAATAATGCCATTCATCCAGAATGTCCTCCAGAACTCAAGTAAGTCCTTTACAAGTACACCCATTTTACTTAAAAGCTCATTTCATTTACCTTTTTGTTGGAAAACAGCATCAACTCTCTGGCTAATTCCCGGAAAGTCATTGACTGTCTGTCTAGGATAACCCTTCTCCATGGACTGGCTGTTTTCATCAAACCTAAATCATATGAAGGGAGACATGTAATTTTAGAGTTTAGACATCAATTCTGCAAAGAATTAATCGGCTGCTGAAAAGTATCCACCATCTGTAGTTTGTTTGACTGATTTGAATGGGGTTACAGAGAGTAAAGTTATCTACTCAGGTTTTCAACAAGGAGGATACTTGTTCACTGATAAAGGCAGGCACAGATCCCGAGAAGCATTTGGAGTGAGAGAAAGTGAAGGAAGACACAAAAGTTTTGACAGCAGGGATGGGATTTACCTCCTTTAATGATAGCAGTGTGACAGACAGTGCATGGAAACTGGCTGGGTTGATTCCTGCTAAAAGGACTGCACATATTTATTGCATGAATTTTAAACTCCTCTTAGACTTTGATATGATATTGTGCGTAGTCCTTTAATATCTGACAGATTTAGATGGAGGAAAGGAAGCTGACATACTCTTAATACAATCAAGTTGTTCCTAAGTGAGCCAGGACAATTTTTATAAGATAGGTCTGAATCTGGGTGCTTTTAGGAACCCTCTCTGGAAAAACATGCAAGCAAACAAACACGCCTTTGTTTTACTTCTCCATGGATACAAGAAATACTTTTCACAGGGACATGAGACTGAGATAAGGAGTTACTAAGTAAGAAATCCATGCTGTGGTTTTCTTGCATGCCTTTGTCTTGTGACCAAGGCAGTAAAGTAGCAATTAAATATATTGTAAATACTCGTTCCAAAACTATCAAAAACAAAGGACAGGAAACGACATGCAGCACAAAATCTAGCTAACACTTTATGTCTCACTGAAGAACCCCCACAATTAGTCACAATAAAGTCTGTTTGACCCATATATGCTCCTGGTTGCCTGGAGAAGGCATTCACAGGAGTTCTTGCACTCAGAGGGAATCTATCAGCTTCCCCAAAATTTTTTTTTTTGCTTCAGTTTGACTGGTATTTGAGTATCAGGAATCACTCACCACAGTCGAAATAACGTTTAGACGAATCATGCTGCAATTCCAATGCTAACCGGTCAAAGAAAGGAAAATGAACTATCACTTCTGTCTCTCTAAACCAGATAAAGTAATCTAGGAGTTTTCAGAAATCACAGAAATTCTGCACAAGCCACCCCAGCCAGCCCTCTGCTGAAGTAGGTTTGTTTTCAGATCTTTATTTTCTAGAGATACTTTTGTCTATTGTATTTGTAAAAATTCTCTACATGCCAGAGTTTTTTTAGCTTCCAGGCATAATGCATCAAAATGGGTCCATATCCGGAATGGCTATTTCAGGACACCCTTAAGCTCTCAAAAGCCAAATCTATATTCTTCTGCTTGTGCAGGAGTCAAAGAATTCCTATGAAAAGTAAGATTGCTATAATTATGTAGTTACATATAATTACTTAAAAGTCTACTTTCTCTTTTATTACATAGACAATTTTAATTCTATTCAGACTACATTGGAGTCAATCATAAGAAAACACTTGTCAGTTCCTCTTACCTCCAGTATTTGTCACCTATGAAAAAGTATGTCTTCCCTGTATTTTTATTACAAACAGCTGCATCAATTTTCTTGACACCTTTAGGGAAGCCCAATGCGTGGATATTCTGTGGATAACCAGGCAACACCTGATATCCGCTGATAACCCAGAATTTATTGCCTATTAAAAAAAAATAAAATATTTATTTTCACCTGTGATTTTCAGAAACTAAAAGGAAAAATTCACTCCCTTAGTGTAGGTTGTAGGAAAAACAAATGAAATGTCATGAGTTTTTATTTATTTATTTGAAAAGTTAATTTTATGCACATATAGCTACCTTTTCTCCCTCCTATCCTCCCTCAAAATTAAAAGTAAGAAAAATTTGAAGAAAGTCTCATACTTCACCTTTGAAGAATAGGATCCGATCTTTCATGTTCTCATATGCAGCTTCAATACCAGGTGGCAGAGTTGGCCAGAAGGTAGAAATTAATTCACGCTCAACTTCTGAGTTATCAGGATAGACTCGCCATAAGTGCCTGATTTAAATATGAAAGAGTTTTTGAAGTAAATCATTAACCACAGACATTTCTATATGTGTATAAGAATGTGAACGACGTCATGACTTGCAAGCTGTTTCTTGTCAGTGGAGCTACCTAGGTTGATGCATCAGAAAGGAAAACACTCCCCTCAATGGGAAGTGAAGGTTTTTTTTTATTCTGGCTTCTTTCTGGAGTTGCCCTTCTTGTTGGTACTGATTGATTATAGGATCAGCTACAAGCTGCTGAAAAATTCAGGTTGTTTCTGTACCCTATAGTAAGACAGTTACAGGGTCCCATATAAGCTTGACTGTAAGCTGTTCCCTATATGATTTACTCAGATGACTTTGGGCTTGATCAGGTGACTGAAGGATAGATTAGCCCAACTATATGGTAGAACATACTACCTTCTTAGAAAATGGTTGCATCATTTAGTTATGTATTACTTGGTGTAACCATTTATACACCTGGGAATAAAGCTTTATTGTGACTGAGATGTTTTTTTTGGAAAAACTAAGCATTTTTTTTCAGGGCATCCTGTAAAAATATAACTCATATCTTCTTAAGTTTTATTTCCATGAACAGAAATCTATCCATTTGTCTTATAAGTCCCATAATCATAATCATGCAAACCACTCAGTCTTTGTAGAAACCAAGAAAAAAGAAACCTCATGGAGACCAATGGCATAGCAATATTTACCTGCCCTTTAGAAAAATGACTTCTCGTCGGAGTGTAGTTACAGCATTGAAAGACATCTGGGAGCCACAAGTCTTAGGTGGGGTAGGGATGGCTGGCCTTTTATCTGGGGCATTTGGTGGAGATCCTAAGGAGACATTATGGGAAGAATACACCAAATTTAGAGAAACATTCAGGTTTTCATATATAATTGTATTTTTGATAATATGAGAAGAGAAATACTTTTACAGCGAAACTTTGTGATAGAGATTATTTCTCTCCTGCTTACTCTATTTTCAAGGCATGAGTTTTACTCACCATAAATGGACTGTATGCCATTTATATCATCTGGAGAGAGGGGAAATTCGCTAGGGCTGATGTAGGCATAGTTGGGGAACATCAAAGCCCTCTGGTCATTAGAATGGGAGAGACCCAGGGCATGGCCAAGCTCATGAGCAGCAACAAGGAACAAGTTGAACCCTTAAAAACAGATAGAGAGATGAGATCAGTCTAAGTTTGGTCTGCAAACGGCTGATATGAGCACAGCAGAACTATTGCTCAGTGACAGTGTTCATAGAATATATTGAAATTCATGAGGGTATGGATATACGTAAACATATTTTTTGTATAGGCGAGGCTTGTGCTCTTCCCCAATAGAAGGGAGTGACTTTTGGCCCTCTTTCCTGCTGTTCTTTCTGTTAGCTACTGAATGTGTGTGTGGCATGAGTAGTGTCTGGGGGTGAATGTGGGTGCAGCTCTGAGGAATGTCCTGGCAGGGTTTTCTGGAGGAGCTAGAAAATTAGTGAGTCAAAACAAAATAAGAGCTCTCCAGGGCAAGGATAGGAAGATGCACTTTGTATTCACTTGAGGTGCTGAAGTGTCACTCTGTATATCAGCCTTCCTCCTACAAATCTGAGAAAGAAAGGTGAGATCATAAGTAGGCAAGGGAAAATATAATGTTAGCAGAACAATTTAATTTCTTATCATTAGGACTTGAAAGAGTATGGTTTCTTTATAGCTTTGTAAAATAAAATAGCTTTTTAAAATATGCTTATGCATGCTTATTCCCAGTGAAATATGTTAGCATAGTAAATAGATAAAAATGGAATTTCCTTTAACATACATCCCTCTAAGTAACACGCCTTTCTCAGTTAGGAAAGAATGATCATCTGCCCTGCAGACCAAGAGCCAACAATGTTAACAGACTTAGTGAAGATCACAAGTCTGTGGCAGAGCAGAGGACTGGTCATCGATTGCCCAAGAAAGGCTGGCTGAAGCCAAGATATCCATTTCTCAAAAAAATCAAACAAAGTTTCAATTTTTCCACACATATTTCCAGTCTTCCCCTCTCACAAGTCCTCCACATTCTCCCGAGTTCTGCAATGCCTGGCTTCTGGAGCTGTGCTGTTGAGAAACAGCAGCAAAACTGAGGTTGACCAGTTCCAGTGTGGGGAAAACACTACATATTATCAGCATGACATGTCCACTTCTCATCCTTCTCTTTTTTCCCACCACAATAAACCCAGACCTTTTCTCCTCATGCAGTGCTCTTACAGAACCTTTCTGTTTGCTAGCTCCTTGCTTTTCGTGCTGCATAACCTCAAGCCTGCTGCAGTTATCCTATGCAATTTTCCATCCCCCAAACGGGATGAGATAAGGGTCTAAAGTACAACAGGGTGTGTACCTTAAATACAATGACAGTTGTGTCATTGTGTACTGACAGGTCTGTCAGAGGCAGCATGTTCTGTTTGGCTAGCCTGGAGATTGAAGGGAACAGGCAGTTGAGCACTCTGTGTTCCCCTCTCTTCTAGCCTGGTGTAACACATCTGTAGTCAGCTCTACACACTGAATCTCAGCCCATGGGTGGCCTGAACAGCAGGTTCAGACACCCAGCTCCTGGTAGGATGCTGAAATTATTTAGAGAACTCTTTTGTGTATAAGCCTATCCTAGCTGATATTTGGACCTATTGTATTATCAGTGAAGACTCTTCATTATCACTGGTTTCTGTAATGTTTTCTAGGTAGTGGGAATCTCCTCTGAGGACTTCCACAAGGCAGGGTGTGCTTCCTCTGCAGTGTGTGGTAGTGCGCAGCTTGGTGCCAGCGTGTGTGTCAGGAGGGGACAAAGTCAAAGCTTTTACCAAGGTTGTGAAACTCTGGTGGGCATGGGTCCTAGCAGCCCCCAGGTAAGAGTGGCTCATGTCTGTAGCATTCATATTTGAAAAGGGGTGTCCTGTTGGTATCTTTACCATCATTAAATAAGAACTAAAGTAGATCAAGCTGATTTACATCACTGCAATTGTTATTTTTGCACATACCCTGGTTGGAGGATGGCCTGTAGTATCCTCAGACTGCTCTTATGGTTAATGTCGTGTTTCATCTCAGTCTATATCTTCAGTTAAATAAAATCAGAAAGGGATTTACCCATCTGCATAAGACTTCAGAAAGACCTTTTTACCTACCAGCTGAGCCCATGGTCCAATCTTCATCCTCATCAAAGTGCACATCACCACCAAAACCATTGCCAGGTGGAAACGCATGACCAAGGACACCAAGGGGGCCATCAAAATAACGAGGACAACGTCCATGAGCTAAATAAGGTGATGTTGAAACAATACAAAGTTTATGTTATGACTACTGCAAAATCTTCACATTAATTTTAACATTTTTTGTGCAGTCAGCATATTACCTTTGGTCCCAAAAGCAATCATTATATCTGCTATTCCTTCATGAATACGAGTGAAAATCAGTGGGGTGACAGTGCTCCACACTTCAAATGCCTTATGGATTGCTTTATCCACATCCTCTTTTGTCATATCTGGTGTGCGGTTAACAATTCTATGATATGAGAGTTCAAGTAATAATACTTAGTGTTTGCAGAAAAAAAATCTCTAATATTGTCATGATGATGAACAGAGATTCAGGTAATTAACTCAACCTACAGTCTAATAGCTCCCAAGATTCATCTTGGATTGAGTGAGTTCGAGGAATGTGATAACCTGACAAAATAGCTGCTCAGAAATCTGCAGCACAATACAGTTTTAGCCTTGTCTGAAGTCAGTTGACAAAAAACCCCAAACCTGATTTTCTACACTTTTGTCTCTGCTCTAAGGCCAATTCCAGAACCATACATGAAGGCTACATGATGTAACCAATGATGCAATACTTAATTATATTTTTTCATAATAGCACTTATGTACATGATATCAGATTTTCTCAAAATGGCCCTTAACCAGGAGGCCATCTCTTGAGCGTGAGGAAAGTCATGTCCTCAGGTTCCTGTGACTACTAAACTGTTGGTCTTAGCAAATTTTGAAGATAATGGGGCTTGTACAAAGTGCAGTGGGTCTTTCTGTTTGGTCACAGAATGTTTGTCAGGAATGGTAAATGACAAGCAAAATACTGTGACTGACTAGCCCGAATCTCAGAAATCCTTCTCAGGAATACGCATAGCTAAGAGCTGGGGAAAGAGAAACCTTTCTGTGTTCCCAACTGGACACAATTGATGTAGAAGTTGTATTTAACTGTAACACATGTGAATACCCACAAAACCAAAATTTTAATTCAAAAAAGCAATTATTGAAACACTACCTGTATGTCAGCTTGTTTTTTTTCCATCCTGGCAGAGTAATTCCATAGAGACCCACATCAGGAACTCCACACCTGGGTTTCTTCATCATTTCCAATGTCTCAGTGTCTGGTTTTCCAGTCACTTTCAAACCAAAAAATTGTTGCATTTTCTGAAGTTTTTCAGATGTGGATTCAGCATTTGATTTCCATCCAAGCTGATTTGGATCAGGCTCAACAGCATAGAATTTATTTAAATAGTCCTAGTGAAAAAATAAAGCAGTTGCATTTCATATTTTGATATGTTCTGAAACAAATACCTTAGGACTGGTATTGTTTGTGTGCTTTGCTGGCAAAAGCATCTGCTCGTGATTTTGGGGCAAAACAGATGTTTTCCTGAGGATCATAGCCAAACAGAAACAGACAACATTATCTCTCTTATTTATTTGACATTTATAGTTTGTACAGATTAATCCCACTTTAGTAAAGTTTGGGCAGCAAAGTTTTGTGTAATAGCATTGTCTCAGAAAGACAGCAAACTGCTGTGTATCTGGGACATGCAGCTTATATCTAAAAAGAAAGGGCACAAGAGATCTGATATGGACAATGTAGTTACCTGTACAAGCTTTGTATCTTCTTTGTTGTCTTTCTCTGAGTGTACAGAGAGAGCGTTAGAAACAGCTGCACACATTAAAAGCAAAAGTGAAAGATCCTTCATTCTTATTCTCATCTCTATCCTGGTAGGTGAGCAGTCTGCTTTCTGCTCCACGTGCATCCTCTCCTGGATCCCAGTTTATATGGTTATGGGGTGCTTTATAGAGTCAGCTGTAGAGTGACTCAGAGTTTATCATGTTCTGATTACCTCCCACATCCTATAACGCTGCGCTGGCTGACACAATAAAACTTGATTAAACCCATCCAATTTTGGAGACATCTGAAGTCAGTTAGCACTTGAATAATGCAAGCTGCTTGGTTACTATTTCAAAACCGACACTCAGTTTTAGTTATTTGAGACTGAATTTTAGTGATCCTCAGCAATTTCATGGCAGATCAAATGGACAAATGCAAAACCTTCCAAGTTGTCCAGACCCAGCTGTTTGAAATGCGGCCCACAAATGTATGGAGACTCCTCAGAATTCTCAGCCTAGAAAATAGGAACTATGCACTGAATATGAACCCCAAACAAACAAACTAACAAAAAAACCCAAAACAAATCACTTTGGGAGAATTTACTATAAGCAGAAACTTTTATTTTTAAATTGATCCATCAAGTGAGACTTGGTGTTTCAGAAAATTGATGACAACTCCAAATCACTCCCCAACTCTTACCTACAATTCTTTGAAAAGGTGTGTTCCCTTTAAGTTATACTGGTGGAATACAAGATACAGATAAACTAAAAAGATTTTGCCCTATAAATCCAGCCTAAGGAATGTGGATAATCTTATATCTCTGTCTGCATTTACCTAAAGTACTTATTTATGTATGCATCTATCTATCTATCTATCTATCTATCTATCTATCTATCTATCTATCTATCTATCTATCTATCTATATCTATCTATCTATCTATCTATCTATCTATCTATCTATCTACCTACCTACCTACCTATCTGCCATTTCATTACAAAAGGTTTCTTCAGTTTAACCACATTAGCCACAGGGGATGTGATTATTTCCTGTTTTAAGTAATTCAGAATAAAGGAAGTTTCAGGATTTACACAAGCTGTGACAAATTATGGGATTTCGCCCTGTGCTGGGCAAGCACCTTCCTCTTCCACTGGTGGCAATTGGAGCTGAAGGTGTTTGGTGCCTTAGAGGAGCTCTGACAGCATGTACCCAACTTTTACAAAACAGTTGTAAGAAATACCCTCATGTTGGACTGTGGCTTTTTCAGGAAATCCTTGCTTCTGAGTTTTTGCTTTTTTTGTTGTCACTTGCAGCCAACTTTTCTCCAGCTGGAGGTGTTAATGATGAATTTTCTACCCCAAATTTCACAATATAGCCTGGTTAGTTTAATTTATTCATTAATGGTATTAGCTACCAAGAGCAAACACCCCCCCTCCCCCCCAAAACCTCCCCAAACCAAAGTCGCCACAAGCAAACAAAAAACGAAATAACCGAACACTTCCCTTAATTTGCTTTTATCACTCTATTGTAAGGTAAGATCTGGATCCTCTTCAGTTCTGTAACTGAGATAAAAACTGTGACAATGATTTTTCTAAGATGGAGAGCTCAACTGAACTGAAAATGGGAATGACTTGTGTTTATGCAGAAATACAGACTTTCTTTTTTGAGAACCACTTCATATTTTTGAATGGATATATTTATTTGTCTCAAACTTTTTAAAGCTAGAAGTTATGATCACGGTGCTATATGCATGGTATCAATAACAAAAGACAAAACCCCATTCCATGGCTTTTGCACCAAATGTATTTTCCAATGGCATATGTTTGGAAAACATGTTTTGGCTGATATGAATTGAATTTTGAAAAAAAAATCAAGGCATTGATTTCCCAGATTGAACTGGGAAAAGTGGCTGTCTTTTTTCAACTGTGGTTGGCCATCAGATCCCCATAGCTGTCTGCTGTCTTGCAGTGGAAGGATAGAGACAATGAGAGCAGTTACATTAAGTTTAGTTGCACCTAAATTCATACATTTATTAGCTAAGCATTCTTCTATAGAAAAATGGATAAATACGTATCTCTGGAGAGCGATTCAACCAGCTATCTTAGAATAGGATGAACTGGCCTCTATAGGTGTTCTCTGTCTTCACTGAATGTAGAGAAGCTTAAGCAGCTAATTTAGACTACATTTCTAATTTCAGTTAACAGTTCATGCTACATTAGTGTTTGCTTAGAAGACATTTGAGTGTCAGATGATGGGGGCCTATATCACTCAAAATGCAATTAGGGTTTTGAAACTTGACCACCTACACAGCACAGTGGCCAGGTCCCATGGCCCATGGGGGAGAGGCCTGAACACATTTTTTTGCAAGTGATGTTTCACAAGTAGACCTATAATTGGCCCTGAGGTCTGGGAAAAGAAGAAGCTGTATATGCAGCTGCTGGTTATGGTTTCATAATGCTTGTTTTTGACAAGTTAGAGTTGGTGGATGTTGATCTACCTCGTGACTCCTTTCTTGTCCTAGAATTGGTTTATACAGACTACAGTAATGTGACCTGTGTTTTAACCCAGAAAAGTCACTGCCTCTCCTCATCACATCTCTAGTACCAACTGACATTACACTGCTGCATTGTGGTGATCCTAATACGCCACCAGCAGGGATCCAGCTTTCATAAGTGTTCACAACATGGGTGTCTGCATGTGAATTAACTGCCTAAAATTGCATTATATCAATAGAAATCTAACCAATATGGTCAAGTGGCATCTAGAGAGCATTTCATCTGACCATATGTAGGAAAAAACTTAGGATGATTTGTGCAGCTCTCAGGAGCTCACCAAATATTTTGACCAACGCTATAGACTAGGAAGAGAGCTTAAACCTGAGATCACATGAAAACACTTAGGCTGCAATTAAGCTGACTAAACAGTGATTCGTTGTGCTTTAGAGGCAGTCTAGAGTATCTGAGACAATGACACAGGCCTGGTGGCTGTGACCTAGGACTTAGAGAGGACATGTGGCTTCTAGACTGGTAGTTGGAGGCCAACTGGAAATATTCAGGGACCTTAACAGCACTAGATACTTATTCAAGCAGCTGAACTGAACCACTACTTTGTAGGCTCAATCCTACCATAGAGTCAACAAAGCTAAATCATTACTCAGCTTAGGCGAAAAACATGGTCCAGTGGCAAATAGTTCAAATAATGTGTTTGACTCTTGGCAAACCTTTAGCAAAGAATTCAGCCTGTGAGGACAGGATTCAACCACCTGAACATAGGTGCTGAGGGACAGTGCAGGCTCTATGGGACTTTGGGAAGTGCTGGTCTCCCAGAAGCTGGTCTCTCCATTTCTTACCTGCATGGGTGACTTGGATTCCCTACAGCACCCCAAATGTACTGAACATGTTTAGGAAACTGGATTCCTGCCTGGGCAAATCTGTCTTAGTTAATAACTGTATTGGCTATGACTACACACAAAACCAGTTACCAGACACTAGGAAGTGCTACAGTGCTCTGCCATAGTACAGTAATTAGCAAATAGGACCTTAAAGTTATTAAAAAGGAGTAAGAAAACAGCAGGTGACTGTGTGGACTGAGCTGGAAACAACGCTTAGATTCCAAATTACTTAAAGTGGTGATTGTGCCTGCAGGCAGGCAAGAGCTGTCAGAACTATACATGCCCTCCTCCTAATGGTGTGGGATGATGTAATACCCACGCTCACCCAGAGAAAGGAAATTTTCACTCACATAAGTATGGGGAATACTTCTCACAAAGAAATCACCTCATTTTGAACTTTCTGTCTTCCTGTTTAAGGGAAACCCACAAAATAAACTAAAAAAAAAAGTGTTCCTGGCAACTAAAAATCAGAGCTTCACAGAATACCAAAAAGCATGGACTAAAAATATGCCATTATAAGCTTAATCTTCTCTTTAACTTCTTCACCTTCCATAGTTTGTAAATTACACTTTATCTCTCTTTCCTCCAAAACATAACCATCTCCTTAACCCTTTTCTTCCATTTAGCACTATTTCTGCTCCATGAGTACTCACTACTATTTTTGTGTAGAGAGGGATTAGTGTACTCTAAGTCTGAAGAGCTGTTTTGGCATTGTCTTGAGACCTTCTGCTCTGCTCTTGCTTCATATCTGAAGAGAACATATGTCCTCAATTTTCATTTTTTTTTAATATCTAATTAGTCTAATAAGAAATAGTATCTTTCCCTGTAATACCTGTGTTATGTTTGTAGACCTTCTCTGCTATAACAGTATAATCAATTTAGATTTATATGCTTCTAAAACAATTTTTGATTTGTCATTGGTAGTTCAGTAGCACTGGCTTACACAAGAAAATATTGTTAAATAGAATTGCTACTAATGTTTTGAATTAAAGAACTGGTATCTAAATCACCTTGTGAGAACAGGATTCACATAAATTACCTTCTTCATTAAAGCTTTTGATGCACTATAATTTAATTTATTTTTTTATTATTTTATAATTTTTTAAGTTTTACAAAGAATATAATCTATTCAGGTTAATTTTCAATCATACATTTTCTTATCTTTGGATAGTATGTAGACTAATTTTTACTCCTGAATTTAATAAAAGTAAAAACTACCAAGCTTATTCTTTATGAAGAATCAAATTCAACAGACTTCTAATACAGACAGCTAAGTAATGAAGAAAACTGAACAGATATGTCTTTTTATAAGGTTACACATTCTTTCCACAAAATACAGTTAGTTCTATTACAGAAAGCTGAAACCTTCCTCTGAAGTGTTCAGAATAATATAGATGTTGTAAGAGATAGCACATTTTTGTTTGGTCTCATGACTTTTAGTGTTATCAGCTGAGCTACAAAGACTAAAGAGAAAGTCAATAACCTTTCAAACACTATTTTAATTTAGGATATTTGAAATAATGCAGTTAAGAGGGAAGTCAAGCCAAGAATTTTAATTTTTAAAGAAAAACTTTCATTCTTTAACCCACTGAAATTATGAGGAATTTACTAACTACTGGAGGAGTAAGCACTTGAAAGAGCTTTGAGCAAAGAGATTCATTTGTCTGTTATATGATGTGGCTATGTGTGATAGCAAAGAAGTTGTTTCAGTAATCACAGGGGTCCTTTCTATTCTACGTTCCCAGGCTTAAACTCAGTTCCTAAACCCCAAAACATGAGCAAAAAGGCCCAGTTCCAAAGACATTCATCCTGAGAGGAAGGCTAAGAGTAGAAGCTAGGGAAAGAGGATCAGAAAGTGGTGATTTGTAGACTGATGTTAATGAACCACAACTGGCCTAATTATCCACAGAATATTCACCAGCCCTTGTGTGAGATGATGGGCATCAGAGCCAGCTGACTGCTCCTTTCTCTGGCTTTGAGAAAAAGGTCTGACTTTTCCTTCCAGAATACATTTTCTAGTGTTTGGAAGCTAGACTTGGCTCTTAAGTATTAATAAAAATACTATGCAAATAAGACATAAATGACACAATGATATGAAAACCATAATTTATTAGGAAACTTAAATATAGCAGGTAAAATTGTGATACATTATATAAATATCTTTGGTATACAATAAATAAGGCTATGCTCCCAAACAGTTTGGGCAGAAATTCATCCTGCCCTGATTGTCCTGAAACGCTGAAAAATTTAGCAAATGAAAACATACACTGTGCATATGGAAAAACATTACAATTAACAATTAAACCAGCTGATGCTCTTCATTTGTCCAACAATCCGTTTGGAACGAGGATCAAACTGAAACTGAGTTGTTCCAAGGAAGAAGTAGACATAGCCTAGAAATAATGTTTAATACAGTTATATTCCATAGGTGACTTCTTTTTAATATTTTGGAAAAAAAATCAATCCCAAGATGAGCAGCCCATGTATGCTTGTTATTTTTAATTTCCTTCTCATTAAGACTAATAACAGGTTTTTTGAAAACAAATGATCCTACCTACAGAGGCTCAAATATTCAAGTAAACCTAGATTAAAGGTATGCTTTACTCACCACCTTTTTGGAAAACAGCATCAACTCTGCCAGTTATTCCAAAGTCGGAGACTATTTTCCTGGGATAACCATGATCCATGGATTTTTTGTTTTCATCATATCTTAACAGAGGAAACATCATTACAATTTGTGAGGAAGCAGACAGTATTTTGAAAGTCCAAAGCAAATTCATACACGTATGCAACTCTATGGTTACTAAGAAGTCTTATAAAGAATAGTTAATGCACCTTTTTGATTCTTCCTGTTATGTATTAAGGTTCTCACATTATGAGTATCCTGAGATTCGAAAAACCTGCCTTTGCTAAAAGAAGGGTCTCACAGACCTTGGGAATGCAGGCCAGGAATTCATTAATGCCTTTCTGGACTGACCAGAGGCTTGTGCATCACTTGCACATAAAATGAGTAATGGATATCCAGTTCAGTATAAAAGCAAAACATATAACTTGGGAGTATAAGACAGTAGCACAGTCCTGAAACATACATGTATTAGTGTCATCCATATAGTTAAACAAAATCAATCTCTGAAATTTGTCACGGGCTACACTTGAATTATAAATATGACCAACTGTACAATTGGAGGACAATTATAATCACATAGAGAAATTAAATTCTAACACTTTTTACTACCAATCCATTTTGTTTGAAATGTGAATAAAAAATGGACACCTTCACAACATTGCACTGAAAAGCAGCTCCACTGTTGTGGAGAAAAAAAAAAAAAAGGAATAATTTACCAGAAAAGTCACTCTATAGTTGAGCATATGTTTCATTCCATTGCAAATAATTACACTCCTGGCACAAATATATAGGGAAAAATGTCCTTTGAAAAAGTTACATTTCATAGCAAATGGTTGCAATTTTTAAACTTTCAGAGAATCCTGTTTACATTTCTGGAATATTCCTGGTTTAAACATTACTACACTCGAATTTTATAGTAATACATCAGTTCTTAGGGACAAGTGAAAATATACCTTTTAGTATATGAACATTAAAATCTTACCTCCAGTATCTGTCAGCTATAAAGAAGTATGTTTTTCCTGTGGTTTCATCACTGTAAGCAGCATTAACTCGTTTGACAGTCTTCGGGAACCCCAATTGATAGATTGGTTTAGGATAGCCAGGTGCAATGTCATATCCCCTGAGAACCCAATATTTATCCTCTGAAAAATATAAGCACATTTCATTTGGTTTTGCTAAAGAGCATTTAATTGTGTGTTAGATAAGGAGTTGAGTGTCTTAGACATCAGAATTATCCCTTTCAGTTTATTACTTTAGAAAATGGTTCTAATTCTTACATTGGAACTACATCATGAAGGTAATGGAAATGTCTTTTAGCTTTATGAGTAAAACATTAGAATCATAAGGTGTATGGATAGTATTTTTACCACTTTTTTTTTCAAATGAATATAAAGTATTTGTCTAGGTAACAACCTAGGGAGGGCTGGAGGCTGATGAGCTAGTCCACTCACATTGGTCTGGGATACTGAGTTTACTAGATTCCTATAATATTATTTGATTTTAGAGCCGTATAATATTTTGAAAACTAGACAATGTGCATTAAATTAAGCTATTAAGAAGGGCATATATCTAATAAAAATGCTTTGTAATTTTGGATACTCTAACATACTCAGAAATAGTAATATATTGTGTACTGTAATGTATCAGGTACTGTAATATGTGCATAATGAAGTTGAGACATTTAACACCTTGAAAGGAAAGGATTGACTGTTTTTTCAGTGAACATGCTTTTTTTTTTTTTGGTCAAAGTATCACAAAATACTAATAAGCATATCAGTAACAGTACTGTACAAATGCCTGTATTTGCTAACTGGATTCACCACAATTTCTTCTGCATAAAGTGACATATTTTAGAGCTTAAGAGGAACTAGAAATGAAGAGAACTAGATTCTCTGTTTCACTGATCTTCCTTTAAAAACACCTTGAATTCTGCAACTGTATAGTTTGCAAAGGAGCAGGGAGTAACCGGTTAGAAAAAGTAGAGGATTTCAGATTTCATTACCTTTAAAAAGCAAAACTTCATCCCTTTCAACGTTTTCATAAGCAGCTTGAATTCCTGATGGTAACTTTGGCCAAAACAGTGAGATAAAATTGAGCTCTGTCGCTGTCCTTGTGGGATGTTTGCGCAGCATATATCTGATTTAAACAAAATTTATGCAATTTATCCAATCATAAGTGCAAAATAATTATTAGAGCTCCTGGAGTATAACAGAGGGAGAAGGGTACCTGAGTGTGAATAACCTCTCCACTGAATGTAAAGGAAATTTACAGTGACCACACTCTTAATTTTAGCACCTTAGTTAAAATCAGGCAAAATGAATATAAGCCCTTCTATTTCTCTGTAGGACAAGCAGACAAAGAGCTGGTTTCAGTAACCACCTAACAGATGTCTTTCTATGTGACACAGCTTTCAGTTCTATCCCTGCTCTTGTATTGGGGAATAGTGGAAAGGTTAAAGTGTGGGACCCACAAACCCATTGCTAAGGGATATATGAATGTTCTTGCTTTGCTATGAGTTGAATTGCACTCAGAGACAAGTCTGTTGCAGCAGTGGCCACAGCAGCAGAAGAGCTGGAAAACAGCCTACAAGCCCTCATTTCCTTCACTGCTCTCATCAGCAAAGGCTCTTAGGATTAATGATTTGAGATCTCTTGCTTGTTTAAATATGTTTTCTAGCGACTCTTTCTACTCCATTCCCTTCTCTTTGCACTACATTCTAAAAAGACAGTTTTGCATCATGGATTACATATTTTTTTAAAACTACTGAATATTTTAATGTAATAATACATATGCTTGTTGTTGTTACCTGCCCTTGAAGAATATTATTTCTCCACGTAGGGTAGTAATAGCATCAAATGTCAAATTTGGGTCACAAGCTTGTGGAGTTCTGGGTCCTGTTGGCTGCACAGCAGCATTTGACTGTCCTATAGGAAGAATATTTTATCTTTCAGTATGAAGAAATATAAAGACAGTGTTCAGAAGGTCTATGAGCACACCAAGAGCCCTCTTTACAGGCAATGAAAAGGTATATGGTTTTCAGCTAAAATCTGTCACTAAAAGCAGACCTTTAATGTTGATAAAACCTGTTGTGTTCATCCTTTCCAAAATAAGTTTTTTGCAGGACTGGACTTCAGCTGAAGTTATCTCCCAGGAATTTTCTCTTTCGTCATTCATAGTTCAGCAACAATTAAACTTCACATTTGGTGGAATAAGAAAATTTTAAATATATTCCTATTAGTGTTTACCAGCCTCCCAGTTAGAAATATTAAATAGAAATATTTTTTTCGTACCATATATGGCTTGAATGCCATCAATGTCATCCTGAGGAAGAAGGAATTCATTAGGATCCGTGTAGGAGTAAGTTGGATACATCAGTGCTCCAGGATCATTTGAATGAGATAGACCGAGTGAATGGCCAAGCTCATGGGCAATAACAATGAATAAATTGTATCCTGTAGGATAAAAATCATATGAAACAAAGTAAATCTATTTCAGTGTTCACCACAGTTGATTAAGCCGGAAACATCTATGCATCCTCCCAAAATACAGTTGATTAAGCAGGAAACATCTATGCATCCTCCCAAAATACATTCCATGTATAAGGGAGGCTATGAGTAATGCTATCAACATCACAACTCAAAAATATTGTAGCAGAACATCTATATGAATACTTAAAAAATGTCTGGCCAAAAAAATCCAAGGACAATTTCTGCTTTCTGCTAGTTTTGCTCACTTTCTGCTTGTAATCAGACTCACGAACTAACCATCACATGAGTTAAGAGTTTACGAGGTGAAACTGTAAATTGATCCAGTTACAAAGTCCTTACCTCTTCCATCTTTTGTCCAGGCTTCCTCCTCATCAAGATGCACATCTCCACCA